GAGAGGCCGGAAGCGTGAACGACTGGCGGATGCCATGCTCCGCACAGTAGGCTGCCAAGAGGTCGGAGGAGAACTCACCACCTCTGTCAGAGTGCAAGCGCAGGACAGGAAAGTCCGAGTGGAAACGCTCGCTGAGCTGAAGACGAGAAGCGCGGATCCAAGGGATCAAAACATCAGGGACCTCACCCTTGGTGCGCAAGGGGAAGACCGTGGTGTAGCGCGAGTAGTCGTCCACAACTATCAGGAAGTACCTCTCCTGACCCTGACCACGGACGCGGGCGGGGCCCCACACGTCCATGTGGAGCGTCTGCAGGGGAGCAGTTGCGGGGGAAACGAGGAGGCGTGAGGAGCAGCGCGCTGCCGCCCCTCGACACAGGGAAGGCAGGGAGGAGCAGGCGAGGGTGGGAGGGGAGGGAGAACTCTGGGAAGACCAGAGACAAGGTACCGTTTGTGCATCGCCCGAAGGCGCTGCACGGACGGGTGACCAAGTCGGTGGTGCCAGAGGACGGTCTCGTGCGCCAGAGAGCGGCACGAGCAGGGGGCAGACAGCTGACCTGACGCAGACGCAGATGCAGCTACCTGAGGGGACTCAGTAGTCAGTGTGTACAGGTCCGACCCGGGCTGCCGTATGAAGGTCGCCAGGTGACGGCCCGTACGAGCACACATGCAGTGTGTCACGCGCTCGTAGGCAGGGGTGAACTGGTGGACACCCCTGTCCTAGAGCGCACTACCCGCCACCAAGTTCGTAGAGAACGAGGGGAGGTAGAGACCGGACAGTGTGCCCGACGGGACGGCCGGACAGGGGAGGACAGTGGAGGAGGTCGCAAGGACTGGACCCCCAGAGGGGTCAGCGAGAGAGACTGCAACGGGCCTGGCAAGCTGCTCAAGAGCCGTGCGGTCACGAAAGAAAGAGCGGGAGGCACCTGAGTCTAGTGTAAAGGTGTGCAGTGCCGCAGTCGACTTAGTACCAAGGGGCTCAGACGCACCAGCACCTAGAGCAGCAGCCTCACCAGCACCTGGGGTAGCAGACACTCTAGCACCTAGAGCGGCAGCCTCACCGGTTCGAATGCCCGGGTCGGGCGGAACACGCAGGTACTGGGCACCCTCTCCACTAGTAGACATCACATACATGGCAGAGAGAATAGCATCAAAGTCTAGAGCAAAGATATCAATGTTTTGCTTCATCAGATCAACCCAGCGGGGCAGCTCAGTGGCGTCAGGGAACTAAATACGCCAAGCGTCGTCGATGCGTGAGAAGCAGCGCTGCGTGGGGTGCGCCCTCCCACACGTCTGACCAGCGCGGTCACCAGTGCGGATGACGTACGTGCAGCTAAGGCCACCCCCCCCCCCCCTCCCCCCCCGTGCTGAGCGTACCACTCACGGAGCTCCTGGGGCGACGGAGTGTGCTGCAGGCTCTAGACACCGCCAGTGCCTCCACGACCGCCACCGCCGCCACCACCTCCTCGACCACTCCCTCCCCTGCCGCTGCCGCGTCCCCCGCCGCCCCCACCACCGCCCCCGCCCCTGGCACCTCCCCCGTCGCTGCCGCCACCACCCCCACCGCTGCCACTAGCCCCCCAAGCCCCACCACCACCCCCACCGCCGCCACCACCCCCACCACCGCCTCCCCCACCGTCACCTCCACCTCCCTTGCCCCCTTTGCCCTTGCCGTTGCGGCGCCCGCTCGAAGCAGACGCAGCGCCGACCTTCTCAGAACCAAGGAGGTCGACAGCAGAAGCAGAGGCTACAGAGGGAAGAAGGGGGGAAGAGGAACACCCCTCAAAGAAAGGGGTGCGGGGGTCGCCACAAGAGGCACCTACAGCAACTATGCTAGCCTTAGCTGCAAGCAGTTCCTTCTCGAGGAGGGCAATGGTGAGCTCAGTGGGGCAGCGAGCTAGGAAGTGATCCCTGATAGCACGTAGAGTGTCAGGGAGGCGGGTGACTAGGTGGTAGAGAGTGAGCCAGAGCGGGGGAGGGTTCTTGGCAAGAAACTCATCGGGCATGGCGGCACGGAAGCGGGCCTCACTAGTATGGAGGTGCGTGATGAGGTCAGCGACTGTGTAGGGGAAATGAAGGCGACGGGAGGGGAAGTGAAGGCGACGAGAGGGGGAAGTGAAGGCGACGGGGAGGGGGAAATGAAGGCAACGGAAGAGGGGGGGGAGGGGGGGGAGTGAAGGCGACGGGGGGGAAGTGAAGGCGACGGGCGGAGCGAAGGCGACGGGCACGCGACGAGCTGCGGAAGCGAGGGCGACGACGCGGGCGAAAGAGAGGGGAAGCGTGAGAAAGGAAAGCGAGGGCGACGACGCGGGCAAAAAAGAGCGGAAGCGTGGGAAAGGAAAGCGAGGGCGAAGGGAGGGTCACGTTTGGGCGAACGGTGGCAATTCGATTTTCGCCGCGGGATTACGCTAGTTGCACAATAACCTGCATTTCGACACAATAATCTTCATCCAGCGGACACTAGCTTTGCGCATCATCATCGAAATTTGCACCACCCACATCGTATGGCGCATCTGATCCCATATGAGTGAACGCCGACGCCCTGCCCTGTCTACAGGTATGGTCTATACCTAATATTCTGCGTGCTATCTCAAACTGTGCACAGTTTGGTATGCTCGCGCATTTCTGGTTGTGGGAAGAACCCCAGCCATCATGGGAAGCGAGATTGTCGCAAATTGGTTTCGCGAGTGAAAGTCTCTCGCAACCCAACCGAACCTCTCCGTGCCTGCCTCCCGAACCTAGCTTTTAGCGTTGACTTCCGTTGAGTAATTCAGGTCTTGGGCTTTAAGCGCTCCTGCGTGAGTGTCGTGACGTCGACGTGCTCGGCCATTTCGAAGGACGGCGGCTAGGCTTAGCTACAGGCGCAGTCGTGGCTGCACACGTTTACAAGAGAACGCGAGGACAGCGGCTCCTAGGTGCTAAGTTGCTGCCACGTGTGGGAAATTGAGTTGGGAGTTCTCTGTGCGACTTGTGTCAGTTTCACATGTCTGACCGACCAACCTCAACGAGCGTTTGCGCGTGGGAGCCCCTAGGTGCACCCACACCGAGCCACAAGGCTATGCGAGCTGCACCAAAGCTGAGCTCAGGTTTGCGGGGCTTCGCAAAAACCAGTAGGTATGTGTGACCGCCCACCTGACCAAAGCGAACTACCAGGTTCGTTCTTCCTGACTCTCGAGTCTCGGGATGACCTCCGAACTACACATGAAGTTCCAACATATATGTGATTGGTTCAAAGCAGACTTCTGGGCGGTTTGGGTACTCCACACCGCACCACTTGGCTCTCCCACACTCACGTGTGTATTTCTGAGTGCGCCTGCCCACCTGCAAGCCTCTGCTACACCTCTTCTCCGGTAATTTTACGGGGCACATACCCGAGTCGCGTTAACGTTTGCCCGAGAGGGTGTGAAATTTGACAGAGCAAAAAAGTTATGGTTAATTTCACACACGAGTCGCAAAGCCTGCAGCTGACATGGATAAAGTACATCGCACGATCTCAGGGAAATTTATCCAGCCAGTGCCACATCACCACGTCAGGATTGCGTGGGGCTCGGTTCACACCTAAAACAGAATCAGGGCGTTGCTCAGTTTTGTTTCGAAGAAGTTCATGTCGGCCTATGAAACGTTGACACTGTTTTGGAGGAATACGAAGTTCAAAATTTACAGCAAGCTACACGATACGAAGTCAAATTTCCTAGTCTGAACCTCACCAAGAATACGCCCCGAATATTTCAGAAGTTGTGGCTTCCATCTCAGCCTCTCAAGTATAAATTGCGTCATTTCTGTGGGGGGGGGGGTCTAGATGTTCAACCACACTTTGGCAGCTCGGCTTCCAAGAAAGTTGGGCTGAGGACCCCGAAGTGACACCGAGCCGCGGTGTAAAATTGAGGGTAGTAAAGATATCGGAGAACAGGTGTACTCTCACCAGAATTCCTGCGATCGCCATTGCTGCCACGAGGTAGGTGCGAGAGGACTGCGAAGGCTTCAGATTTGGATCATTGCTGTGGTGTGCCTCCGACGCATCAGAGCTTCTGCTGTGTGCATTCAATCGTTGTTGTCTAGCCTCCGTTCTGGGAGTCTCTGACAGACATCGTGCTCATAGCTGAGGCTAGAACGATTTGTGTAGTTGAAAATTTACGGCTGTTTCAGTAGCGTCCCACCGCGAATACGACGTCTTCGCGACTCGCGGACTATCGAGAATTCGCAGTCAACCGTCTCGCAGCCGATTATTGCCAACCGAGCACTCTCATCCACTCGCAGTCAGCTATTTAAATTCATCTGTTCACAGTCAGCCATTCGCGATGTTCAACAATCCGCAGGCGATATCGCCGGCGGGGGCATGGGCGATGAATATCGTGAGCTCCGTGGGGCTCATCATGATCAACAAGGTCGTCATGTCCTCCTACCGCTTCGTCTTCGGTGCGTTCTTCGACTTTAGTACGCCTTGATTAGATGTAACAGGTGCATTTACTACGCCAGTCGACCGAAGGCGCGTCTCCTGCGTGGGGCTCATCATGATCAGCAACGTTGTTATGCTCTCGAAGCGTCACTCATTCCTCTTCGATGCGTCGCTCATCGGTCTATCGTGTTGCTCGTTCTTCGTCAATGCGTCGCCCATTCGTCTTTGATGCGTCGCTCGTCGTGCATTCTTATTTGGCTCGTCGCTCATATCAACGTTATTCTGACTTGTCCTCGGTACGTCTTAAACCTAGGTACGCCATATATTCGCTTTACTTGGGTACATTCACGCAGACATCCTTGATCGTTTACAGATTCCGTAGTGGGTGCGACAAAGGTCGCGCTTTAACAAAGATGAAAAGGACGCCAGCTTTCACCAATCCGTTCGTTATGCAATCCATGTTTCGTGGTTCTTGTACGCTCGCTCTTCGTCAAATGCGAGTCGATCCCGTCGCGTTCGCGCGGTTAATCACAATGCGAGATGTGTTTTCAACTTACCCGAGAGCCGTCGAAGCGGCAGCAGAGAGGAATGCTTCGCGAAGCCGCGAATGTACCAACTGGGCGACCTCACGTGCTTCTCCCTCGAGGCGTATCTCGAGCTGCCGTCGAGAGAGAGAGAGAGAGGAAGCACTCCTCACATTTCCCTCCTCACACGTTTCCCTCCTCACATTTCGCTCCTCACATTCCCCTCCTCACATTTCCTCCACACATTTCCCTCCTCACATCTCCCTCCTCACATTTCCCTCCTCGCATCCCCCTCCTCCCATTCCCTCCTCACACGTTTCCCTCCTCACGCCCACATTTGTCACGCTCACCTCCTCGCATGCACATGCCTATCCAGCACACCCCGCGTGGTACTACCTGTCAGGGCAGACCATCGTCCCTCTGTGGGACACACAATGAACCGCGTTCCCTCTGCTCCACGGTCCCCCCTCCCCCCGTTCCCGTTTCTCTTCACTCCCCCCTCTCTCCCCCAACCCACCTCCCTACCCACGACTAGCCACCAACGAAAAGTGCGTCCACCTCACGTGGGTGTGACTGGGGTCCTCGTCGCAGCAGGGGTACTCGTCGCAGCAGGGGTACTCGTCGCAGCAGGGGTACTCGTCGCAGCAGGGGTACTCGTCGCAGCACGGGTACTCGTCGCAGCAGGGGTACTCGTCGCAGCAGGGGTACTCGTCGCAGCAGGCCATCATCTCAGAATGAGATACGCCCGAACTCGCGTTCCCGCTTTTCCTCCCTCCCGACTCTCTCTCCACTCCCCCCCACTTCCCATCCCACCAGCCACCGCCCTCACCAGATTCCAGCTGACGTTCACAGTACTGTTCGGGACGCTGTGCGTGTTGCTGGGGTACTTTTCTCTCGGGGAAGTCCAACACCCCTCAGTGAGACACACATAAACTCGCTCCGTCTCCACCCCCCAACCCCTTCCTCCTCCTCCCCCCCCCAGCCAACACACTGACCTGCTTCCACCTCACGTTGACGGAGCTGTTTGGTGCCCTCTGTGTGTGGCTGGGGTACCTATCCGGCCAGGCCAACATCCCTCTGTGGGACACACGAAACCTCATCCCTTTCGTCCTTCCCGTCTCTCTCCCTCCCCATTCTCCACCTCTCCGCCCCCACCACGCCCCCACCACGCCCCCTCCACCAGCCACCACACTGACGGGATTCCACCTCACATTCACCGGCCTGTTCGGGGCGCTGTGCGTGTGGCTGGGGTACCTGTCGGGGACAGCCAACATCCCTCTGTGGGACATCGTGTGGTTCGGCATGCTCGCCAACCTCTCCATCGTCGGCATGAACCTGTCGCTTATGTCTAATTCGGTCGGGTTTTACCAGGTGAGCAGGGGGGGAAAGAGGGAGAGAGGGTGAGAGATGGTGCCTGTCGGGAACGGCCAACATCCCTCTGTGGGACATGCTCGCCAATCTCTCCATCGTCGGCATGAACCTCTCCCTCATGTCCAACTCCGTTGGCTTCTACCAGGTGAGCGGGGGGAGATGGAGAGTAGTGCGGTTTCCATCGCAGGTTAGGGTTTTCCTTAACACGCCCCCCCCCCCCCCCCCACAATGCTCGCCAACCTCTCCATCGTCGGCATGAACCTCTCGCTCATGTCCAACTCGGGTGGGCTTCTACCAGGTGAGAGAGAGGGCGAGAGGGGATGAGCGGGTGAGAGAGGGAAAAAGGAGTGGGTTTTGGGCAAGTTTGTGGGGTTCAGGCAAGTTTGGAAAAAAGGCTAGTAATACAAAGTAAAGTCGGCAACTAGTGTGTACAAGACTCTCCCACTCGCGAACGCAGATTCCAGGAAGTTGCAGGAGTCATACCCACCACAGCACCCTTAAACCCTATCCCCAACCAAGTCCCCATAACCCCCTCCCCACCCACGTTCCATTCCCCCTCCCCGTTCACGTTCCCTCCTCCCCCCATCTCCCCATCAGATATCGAAGCTCGCCATCATCCCATTGACCTGTCTGTGTGAGACGCTGCTGCACGCCAAGTCAAGCTCTCACACCCTCCACACCACCCCTTAACCCTCTCCCATCCATCTTCCCCTTCCCCGTCTCCTTCCCCCTCTCCCCCCCCCCATCAGATATCGAAGCTCGCCATCATCCCGGTGACCTGTCTGTGTGAGACGCTGCTGCACGCCAAGGCCTACTCAAGGGAGGTCAAGCTGTCAGTGGTCGCGGTCATGCTGGGAGTGGGCGTGTGCACCGTCACTGACATCTCCGTCAACGCGTTTGGGCTCGTTACTGCGACTGTGGCGGTGGTTTCTACGTCGCTCCAGCAGATTGTGAGTGTTCTTCATTCAGCAGCAGAGGTTGCCTGTAGGGTACTGGAGGTGGGGGTAGCTGGGAGTGGGCGTGTGCACCGTCACTGACATGTCTGTTAACGCCTTAGGGCTCGTTACCGCTACTGTGGCGGTGGTGTCGACGTCGCTCCAGCAGATTGTGAGTGTTATGGTATGATGCAGCAATACCGTTTTTGAGTGGTAATTGTGGCTGGCAGTGGTGGGTGAGTGCAGTTGGGTGCGTATGGGTTGCTAGGCGTGGGCGTGTGCACCGTCACTGACATCTCCGTCAATGCGTTTGGCCTCGTTATCGCTACCGTGGCGGTGGTTTCTACCTCCCTGCAGCAAATCGTGAGTGTTTTTCATAAAGCAGCGCAGGCAACCCGTAGGCGGGGGGTGAGGGTGGCAGTCATGCTAGGCGTGGGCGTGTGGCACTGTTACTGACATCTCCGTCAACTCCTTTGGGCTCGTTACGGCTACTGTGGCGGTGGTATCGACATTTCTGCAGCAGATCGTGGGTGTTCCTCGTTCAGCAGCGCAGGCAGACTGTAAGGGCGTGAGAATTGCTGGGGGTGGGCGTGTGCACCGTTACAGACAGTTCCGTCAACGCCTTTGGCGTCGTTACTACCACTGTGGCGGTGGTTTCTACCTCCCTGCAGCAAATTGTGAGTGGCGGGAAGGAATGCGATGGGATGTATGGCAGGAAGATGGGAGAGGGTGCATGTGGCAGAGTATGTTGGGGTGGGGGTGGTTGCGGGTGGTCGTGTGCACCGTTACTGACATCTCCGTTAACGCCTTTGCTTGTTACTGCCACTGTGGTGGTGGTTTCCACGTCTCTATAGCAGATAGTGGGTTTTATGATGTGCTGCTCGGGCAGACAGCGCCCATTTGCTGCCGGCCATCTTTCGTCATCCTTGTCCTACCTACCTTCCTCACCTGCTCCTCTGTTCCCATGCTTGTTCTTGCCCCTCAGTTCGTGGGCGAGCTGCAGAGGAAGCACAACGTGGGGTCGTTCGACCTGCTGCGCCAGACAGCGCCCATCCAGGCCGTCACCCTCGTGATTGTCGGCCCCTTCCTCGACTACCTCCTCACTTCCCAGAACCTTCTTGAGTTCCCCGTCACCAGCAACGCTACGGTGAGTGTCTTAACTTACTGATCGCAATAGACAGACCGACAGACCAACAGACAACGCCCATCCAAGCCGGCACTCTTTTGCTGCTCATGCTCTTTCTAAACTAGCTCTTTACCTTCCACAACCTGCTCGAGTTTACCATCACCAGCAAGGCTGCTGTGAGTTGCATGATCATACTATCACAATAGACAGACAGATTGACCGACAGGCAGATATCGCTAATTCGAGCCATGTCACGTTTCCCATCACCAGCAATTCTGCGGTGATTTGTTGTATAGCACTTCGCAACAAAGGTGTATGCAAAGCTGTGGAGGGCATTTGGAACTGAAAGAAAGGGGAATCGCGTCTCCTCTTGACTGAATTGTTGGGTTTTGGCTCTCGTTTTCCTTATCTCCTTCCGTTGCTCTTGCTTCCCATACACACACCAACTATTTTCCTGCTCCTTCCAGCCTTCCCTCATTACCTTGTCCATTCACATCTCCACTTCATTCACATCTCCTCTTCATTCACATCTCTTCATTCACATCTCCACTTCATTCACATCTCCTCTTCATTCACATCTCCTCTTCATTCACATCTCCTCTTCATTCACATCTCCTCTTCATTCACATCTCCTCTTCATTCACATCTCCTCTTTATTCACATCTCCCCATTCACAGTCACATTGCATGCCTTTCGATTGTTTGAAGACCAGCATTTGCGATGCCCGATTGATCCTACAGAAAGGTTACAGGCTCGCTGGCCTGGGGGGTTATGGGCGCACTGACCCGCTACTTAACAAGCCAATTTATCACATTGTAGTGGCTGAGATTCTGACATGGTATCACAACGAAGGTCTCGGGTTCGAATCCCCATGTGTGCACATGCTGGCGTTGCCGCTGTGCCAGTGTCCTAGGGCATCCCTGTGAGAGGGGGTGTTAAAAGACCAGCACTGGGGATGCCCGATTGATCCTATGGAAATGATACAGGTTCGTTGCTTGGGGGGTTATGGCCGCACTGACCCGCTACGTAACAAACTCTTTTATCCTAGCGGTTTAGTGGCTGGCATTATGACATTGATTCATGTTTCAATCTCCTTTCCAAATCTTCCTTACCATTCCCCTCTACCCCCCCTCCACCCCTCCCCACTCCAGTTCATCAACTTCCTCTCTTTCGCCTTGGCCATTGAACCCCATTGACCTTTGGCTCATGCACGTTCAAGCCCCTTCCTCATCTCCCCCATATCCCCCTCCACCCTTTCCCACCCCACACCACACCAGTTCTTCATCTCCCTCTCGTGCGCCTTTGCCATCGGCTGCAACCTCTCCGTCTACCTGTGCATCGGAAAGTTCTCGGCAACGTCCTTCCAGGTGCTGGGGCACATGAAGACGGTGGTGGTGCTCATCCTGGGCTGGACCGTTTTCAAGGACCCCTTCACACTAAAGAACTTCAGCGGCATGCTCATGGCCATCGTGGGCATGCTGCTGTATAGCTGGGCTGTGGAGAAAGAGAAGGGGACGAAGGAGGGCAAGGGAGGGAAGGAGGCGTTGCCGCTGCTGCCAGTGCAGAAGGGGGAGGAGGGTGGGGGAGGAGGGATGGGACTGGGGGAGGAGGGGAAGGGGGATGTGGAGTATGGGGGGGTGATGGGCGAGAATGGGAGGAGGCCAGGGTCGCCCACGAAAGGGGGCAGAGGGCTGTTGTAACAGAGGTGTTAACATGATTTATACAGATGAAGTAAAAGGAGGTGTTAACATTATTTATACAAATGGAGTACTAGGTAAAATCTACTCGCTTACGTGACGGGCCTGCTGCGAATGTATGTTATCAGCTCTGATGCCCCAGCGTAATCATTCTGCCATTTATAAATATACATTACAGTAAGGCCCATCTGCCAACTCCTTCGCATGCTGATGTATCTCTGTGAGCAGTGAATATGCAGCAACTGACCTGCAGGTTCAGGGCCTTGCGAACTCAAATGATACAGTACGGTACGCTGAGTTGGGAGGGGCAATGATGCAGAGGGGAGGGACGGTTTTGGCCACGCGACATGAGATGAGAACACAGATTGCAGGCGCATTATCTTATAAACCATCGCATAACGAACAAGCCCCAACTCAAACGCCCGGCATCACCCTGTGTGTAAATCCATAGCCCATGGCTGCATTGAGTTTGAGGTGACATGACATTTGATTAAACTCAAGTGATTTCAACTTTCAAATTAAACGTCCATCATCGTCCCTTCGATTGCATCCCCATCTGTAAATCCTTCGCCCATAGCTGCATTGAGCCTGACAGCCATGGCCCCATGACTTGACAGAAAGAGGCGCAGCTGTAGCGAATGGGGAGTGGTGCCTGCTGGTGGGGGGGCAGAGATGCAGGTGACTAGGAGACAATCAACAAATGAAGACAGAAATACCATGCGCAGAGGTAGGTCAAGGATGGAATGAGTGACAACGATTTTTTATTTCCCTGAAAAAAAAAGCCCGCAACAAGTGACTAAAGAGGGGGGAAAGTGGGGGGTGTGGGGGTCGCGAGAGGGGAAGCTGAAGCTGCGAGTCTGTTGAAGTGCTTCACCTCTATTCTACCTATCTCACCCCCCATCCCCGCTGCTCGCTGCTCGCTGCTCGCTGAGAGGGGAAGCTGAAGCTGCGAGTTTGCTGCTCGCTGAGAATATGTCCCAACACCTCTACCTATCTCACCCCCTATCCCCCAACCCCATCCCCGCTCTCCATCCCCACGTGCAGCAGGCAAGGTCTGAGTCTTCCACATGACCACGGCTCGACCATCTTCAGCAGGCTTGAAGGTGCAAGGGGACCAGAGGGTGAGAGGAAAGGGCAAAGTGAGATTGTGTTCAAACATTTATCCTCGATCCTCATACTCTATCCTCACTCACACTCTATCCTCACTCACACTCTATCCTCACTCACACTCTATCCTCACTCACACTCTATCCACACTCACACTCTATCCTCACTCACACTCTATCCTCACTCACACTCTATCCTCACTCACACTCAATTTTCACTCACACTCCACCCTCACCGGTGGTAGGCAGGCTCTGGGCCTTCCGCGTGACCACGGCTTGAGCGGGACGAGTGGGTGAGAGGGGAAGCTGAAGGTGCAAGTGTGTTGACGTGCTAATCCCCAATCTCATCCTCCATCCTCACACTCTATCTTAACATCACCCGTCATTCCCCACACCCTATCCTCACCTGCAGAAGGCAGGCTCTGGGTCTTCCACGTGACCACGGCTTGAGCGGGACGAGTGGGCGAGAGAGCGAGGAGGGGCGAGAGGGAAGGGCATAGAGAGATTGTGTTCAAACATTTATCCTCGATCCTCATACTCTATCCTCCCTCTCCGTCCCCACCTGCAGCAGGCCGGCTCTGGGTCTTCCACGTGACCACAGCCTGAGCTGGGCGAGAAGGCGAGAGGGCGAGGAGGGGCGAGAAGGTGTGGCGGGGAGTTGGTCGAAGTACCCACTGGAGTGGGGGGGAGGTGGGGGGTGAGATGTGAGGAAGGATGGGAGATGAGGAGGGATGGGAGATGAGGAGGGATGGGAGATGTGGAGGGATGGGAGATGAGGAGGGATGGGAGATGTGGAGGGATGGGAGATGAGGAGGGATGGGAGATGTGGAGGGATGGGAGATGAGGAGGGATGGGAGATGTGGAGGGATGGGAGATGAGGAGGGATGGGAGATGTGGAGGGATGGGAGATGAGGAGGGATGGGAGATGAGGAGGGATGGAAGATGAGGAGGGATGGGAGATGTGGAGGGATGGGAGATGAGGAGGGATGGGAGATGTGGAGGGATGGGAGATGAGGAGGGATGGGAGATGTGGAGGGATGGGAGATGAGGAGGGATGGGAGATGAGGAGGGATGGGAGATGTGGAGGGATGGGAGATGATGAAGAATAAGAGGTGATGAAGGATGGGAAAGTATGGAGGAAGGATGGGAGGGGATGAAGGAATGGTGGAAGAAGGTGAAGGATGGGAGAGGATGGAGTAGAGAGGGATGGGTACAAGAGAGAGGACATAGAGAGAGGAGTGGAATCACATAGAACAAATGAACACGCATGAAGTAATCTGCCTGGAAATTGCCAACAAGCATGTAATATCCAGCGTCAAAGGCTAGGATAGCTGTAGTACCTAGTGCACCTGTGCAGCAGCCACCCCACCTGCAGCACCCACCCCACCTGCAGTACCCAGTGCATTGGCAGTACCTGCAGCAACACTCGTGTTCGGTCGGGCTGCTTGCTGTGTGCTGTGACTCGCGTGTACAGCCACGCTGCAGAGGCAAGCCTGGTGGGCGCTCAGAGATGTGGCAATGGACGGATGGGGCAGAGGAGACAGACGTGTGGGATTGGGACAGTTGATTTGTGTGTAGGTGTGTGAGTGAGTGTGAGTGTGAGTGTGAGTGTGTGTGTGCATGTGAATGAACCACGTGCGTGCGTGTGCCTGAGTTGCCAAATACGCTCAGGACACTGTGCGTTTAGCGGATATACGCTAGCTTTTACACGCTAAACGCAAGCTAATACGCTATACGCTTGCCAATTTTTTTTGGGGCAGCCCGACCGAAAAAAATGTGAATATACGGAAAGATGCGGAATTGCACGACGAGCATTTTGCCACCGTCAAAATTCACGTCTGCGATTTGTGCAAGGGTGAACGGCGATTTCCGTGCTGATCGGCAATTTCCCTTCCGCGCAGATCCGCGCGGATCGAAGGTTCTTCCCGCAGAAGGGATGGGGGGAGAGACTCTCCCTAGAACAACGTCTTGTAGATCTGGACTGGAAGGAAGTGACGTGACGACTGTACAAATTTCAAGTATCAAATTGGTTGGATGAGATAGATGCAATGCGGTGAAGATAGGTGATGGGAGGGGGAATTGGTTGGAGGCAACATTGGCGATGGGTGTGGGGCACGAATTCCAGCATTGGCGATGGTTTCCCTGTCCAGGATCTCTCCTACGCCTCCTCCTACACTCTAGCAATCATGCCTTGTGATTGCGAGCCCGAAGCAGAGCAGATTCGCGCAACGCTATTGCAGTCTATAGCCTACGAACTCTGCATCTTAACCCGATTTCAGGCCGAGTCGAGGGTGGTTATCTTAGTATGGAGAAAAACTTACCTCTGAAACATAACCCCTTAGATCCCCCCCCCTATAACAGCCCGGGCGGATTTTTTCCCCTGCCCGGGAAAGTTTTTTCCCTGCCCCAAAAAGCGTATGTCCAAATCGCTCCCTTATGCGTATAGCGTATATACGCTAGCGTATATACGATACGCGTATATACGCTATACGCGTATTTTGCAACTTAGGCGTGTGCATGTGTGAGCACAGTGCATGCGAGAGTGCATGCGTGAGTGTGTGCGCACGTGCGTGCGCATGCGTGTGTATGTGGGAATGCGTCCGCGTGTGCATGTGCGCATGTGGGAAGGGGCAGTAAAGTACCGGTGGGATGTGGCAGTAAAGTACCAGTGGGATGTGGCAGTAAAGTACCGGTGGGATGTGGCAGCATTGAGAGAGAGCGAGTGTGAGAGGTCACAGGTCACAGCACCGCTCACAGAGTGGCCCTCCCGGCGATCACTAAAAGGGGGGGAAACATTTAAGAGAGAAACGGCATTGGGTGGGGTGAATCGTGAGCAGAATTAAAAGGCACTTGAAGGGCACTTCAAGATTGGGCACGCGTAACAGAAGCACTTTCTGTAATCACTGGGGTTTAGTAAGAGTTGTGAGAGGGGGTGGCACTGGTGTGACCCGTCCTGCAATTTCCTCTAGATGAGATAAACTATTATCTGGAGACAAAAAATTCAAGATAAAACACGCATTGAGGGAGATCAAGAAGATCACTTGGCCGTGCTGTTGGCAGCACAAGTATGAACATAAGAGAAAGGGAGATTTGTAGGAAGAGGATGGCGCTCGAATTCATGTAGGGTTAGGGCAGTGCACCTCGTGCAACCAAACACCTCTTGCGATAAGGCCGAGGACCAGATTGCAGGGAAGAGGTAGGGAGGGTTGGTTATTCCTCTGCCCTTTGCCTTGGCCCTCTGCCCTATATAGGCCATGACGACCTTCTCATGACTCCTCTGTCGCTCCTCCTCTCCCTGCAGCAGGCAGCCCGCCTCCGGGGCTTCGAGCATTCGGCTGGGGGCAAACTGGATCTCCTGCAGGCGGTGCTCGATGAAGAAGCGGGGAGGCGCTCTCAGCGGTGCTCTCCCGATTGCTCTATTGACTGCGCTCACGCAGAGCGACCATCACGACCATCACGACCATCATGACCATCATGACCATCATGACCAGAGAGCTTGGTGGCTCGGAGAGCATGGTGGCTCGGAGAGCTTGGTGGCTCGGAGTCTCATAACTTAGGCTTAGAAGTGATACATTAGTAATGAGCTTGAAGCTCTTTAAGTACATCCAAGAAGGGGAGGGAATGGATGGGGAAGGGAATCTGGGGCAATCCATAGAGATTGGGGGTAATCCCAAGGCAATCTCCAATTGGTGGGTTGGAGATTGCTTGGAGATGACATTTGGGTTTGGTTGGGATGTAGGTGTACACCCAACCAAACACAATGTGCAAACTGCACTACTCTAGGATATAGAAAATACAAAGTACAAAGTGTGAGATTGAAGGCTAACACTAACACCCCCCCATAGGCGTCAATCGAACTCATGGTAGAGAGGGTGGTGCACAGAGCCCCATGGCGCC